GAACCCCAGGGAGTTGGCACCTATGTTCAAGAGAAAGATATTTCTCCATCAGAACAGAATACGCAGCACACAGATGGCCAGTAAAGTGCAGGGGCAGAGGAAGGGGGTGTGGTGGGTGTGGGCCACCCCGGGTGTCACCACTGAGGGGGGTGACAAAATGCCAGGCGGCACTCACCGCGGGGCCTGCAGTGCACCCAAGCCACGCGTCTCTCCTGGGAGAGACGCAGTGGCTTGGGCGCTCACAGGCTCTGCGCTCCCCAAACGGTCTGCCCGCTGCCTCCCCTCCCCCCCAGCTGTAGGGCGGCTGAGTCGGAGGAGGCAGGCTGAGTGGAAGGAGTCCCCGGCCCTATGGGTGGCTCGCACTGCTCCTGGGCGTGCCGCCCCAGGCGCCCAAGCCGCTTCCTCTGCCACTGGTAATGTGGAGACAGTCTAGCTTTCTTCTTCTCTATGGTTTCAGTCAAGGTACTGGCACAGAGGGACTCTGCCAGAACAGAGTGGCCATATTTGTAAAGGGCAGACACTATGGCCGGGGTAACCAATATGGAACCCTCTGGGGGTTGGACAACAATTACCATTGTCTCTGTCCATGACCAATGGCCATGCAGACTGAGGCTGATGGGAGTTGGAGTCCAACAATATCTGGACCATACCTCTGCTCTTCAGAAGCAGAAGTCTTGACTTCCATTTTATTGCTATGTATTGTTGATGTGATATCTATCCCAGGGGGGTTTCTAAAGAAAGTCACTAACAACAGGGAAGGAAAGTACATTACAGAAGACTCACCTAGGGCAAACAAAACATGTGCCAACCAACATTACAGCTCATTTCCTATACCAGCACATCACAATGTAGTAAGGATAACTTTTAAACTTCACCTCAATAGCCAAAGCTGGTAGCTGGCTTCAGTTTTTCACACCATGTAGTTTTGTTCTAAAGGGATGCCTATTTACAACCTTAACTGTACCCAAAGAAGGTGGTGGTGCTTGTTTTTGTCTGATATTTATAGGCTATACTTTATAGTTAAAATATATAATTACTGAAGAAGGCATAATGAAATCTTCTATTGTTAGACAACACACAGCAATTCTAATTAACAGGGGAACCGATAAAAGAATTTACAGTGGCACTGCTGCAGGAAAATGCAATTTCTTAGTATGGCTCTTGCCGTTTGTTTTACGGCACCACAGTTCTTTTTCCATTCATGGTTGATTTGGGGAACTCATCTACAGCAAAACATTTTAGGTACCACCAGCTGTGTCAAAAATACTACAGTGTAACAAGCAACAGAATTTCTGGGACACCACAGCTAGCAGCAGACAGGATGGTGGGACGGAGGCACTTACCTGACCTCCTGGTGGGTGAATTGTTGCTGCTTACCATGAGGACAAGGCGTGAGGCAGTGCAAACACACAGGCAGGAACCAGATTGCTTCAGCTGATTCATTTTATATTATGAACCGCCCTGTGATCCTTGGATGAAGGGCGGTACAGACATTTAATAAAGAAAATAAAAAATAATTTGCACCACATTCCCATGTTGTGAAGTGTGAAAGGACTCCTTTAAAAAGTGTCAAGTGTGTTTTGAGAAGTTGTTGTTGTTTTTTGCTCCACTACATCTGCAGGAACAAATCCTTCCAACTCTACAATTCTACGACTCTATGATTCTGTGAAAATAAAGAGTATGTAAAAATTAATTTCATGATCACCCCATGGTAAGATTTTGTCTGTAAAAGCTGATTGCACGAACTTACCTTCAATGCAAGGAACTGAGAGCAATATCATCCTTTAAATGTTTGTATATTCACCATCAACACAAACTTCTGGATTAAATGAGAATAACCCATCACACCACATTAGATGCCAGAGTGATGGGTTAGGACTGGCAAGAGCTAGCTTCCAGTTCCCACTTAGCCATAAAGCTCTCTGGAAGGGATGTGCGAATCTTGTCACTTTGGTTTTTCTTTCAAATCTTAAGTTCGGTTTTTACACTTCCACATCAATTTGCAGCTTTTTTTTTTTTTTTAAAGACAGTCCGCATAAAAATCCATCAGCATGATAGCATGACTTTATGATAGCATGATAGCATGACTTTATGATAGCATAAAAAATAAATAAATGCATATACGCTCGGGTGAAATGTGTGTAAAAAATGCAAATATTTGGAGAAAAATTGCAAAAACATGGGTCTTAGGCAAAATTGTATCTGTGCATATGCACAGATACAATTTTGCGTATATGCATTTATTTATTTTTTACATATTACTTGTCTGGAGATCTGCATTGCAGAATTCAGAGAAGTGCAAATTCTGAATGTCTATTTTGGTTTATGTCTTGTTACAAAAAAGAGGAAATAAGGCAAGTTTGCCTTGGAATGCAAACTGAATCCAATTTCTTCCCCATCCCTGCTCTCTGGTGATATGGGCCCAGTCACTATCTCTTCCCTTTACCCACCTTGTCAGGGTTGTGGTGAGAATAAAAGGGGGGCGTGTACCTTGAGATCCTCAAAGCAAAGGCTGGATATAGCTGAATAAATAGCGAGAATTGGGATGAGTTTTTCTAGGGCTCTGTTAATAACTCAAGAAACATGATGATGATAATGATGATAAATTTGTATCCCATCCATCTGACTAGGTTGCCCCCACCACTCTGGGTAGCTTCCAGCATATATAAAAACATAATACAGTGGTACCTCGGGTTAAGAACTTAATTCATTCTGGAGGTCCATTCTTAACCTGAAACTGTTCTTAACCCGAGGTACCACTTTAGCTAATGGGGCCTCCCGCTGCCGCCGCACCCCCACCACCCAATTAATGTTCTCATCCTGAAGCAAAGTTCTTAACCTGAGGTACTCTTTCTGGGTTAGCGGAACCTGTAACCTGAATCATCTGTAACCTGAAGCGTCTGTAACCCAAGGTACCACTGTAACACATGAAACCTTAAAAGGCTTCCCTATACAGGACTGCCTTCAGATGTTTTCTGAAGGTTATAGAGTTGCTCATCTCCTTGACATCTGATGGGAGGGCGTTCCACAGGGCGGGCGCCACTACCGAGAAGGCCCTCTGCCTGGTTCCCTGTAGCTTCACTTCTCACAGTGAGGGAACTGCCAGAAGGCCCTCGGTGCTGGATCTCAGTGTCCAGGCTGAATGACAGGGGTGGAGAATACAAGTGTGTAGTACTGAGGCCCATGCATCAAGCAGCAGTCAAGAGCATCCAGATCTTATTAAAACGAAGAATGCCTACATCTGTTACTCAAGTTATTACAAAGCCACCAGTGTCATACTTAATAAATAACAAGGCAGGCTTTTTAAACAGAAACCTGATGTAAACTTAACACTCACCCCAAAAAAATAAAAAAAATTGTAACGTTAAAAGCGAGCTGCCTATGTAGAAGGACTCCGACGATTTTCCACGCAGAGGAGGAAAATGGAGCAGCCTGTGCCAAAACCTGGCTCTTTTTGCCATAATCGCTGTGCTGGGATAGCTGTGCTTTAGTACTATTTGTGTAAAACAGCGTCCCAGTGAAATGTGGGCCAGGAGTGAAGGAGGGGGGAAAACGCAGAGAGAGAGAGAGCAGCCCAGACACTGCTGGTTTATTAAAGTGCCCTTCATTCACCTGCTCCATCCAAATCAAACAGCTCTGATTGGCGTTCCGTCTTGTAAAACGGGTATTGTGTGAGCAGTGGGCAGCTGGAGTCCTCTGAGAATCTTCACTTGTCAGAGATGAATCAATCATCTAGAAAGATGTCAGCATCTGCCCAAACCATTTTATATTAGAATAAATGGCAGATGGTGGTGTTTTTATATTTAATCAGTTCCACCAAATGCAGTTTCATCTCTTATAAAACTAAACCATCTGCAGCGTGTAGGTGTACAGATCTAGCTAAATGCCCGCTGCAGAACCCTCTTCTCTTAAAGGTAAACGGTACAAGTTAGTGGCAGCATTTTGGCACCATAAACTACAGGAGGAAGGGGAGGGGGGGAGAGATTTGACTTTTGCTTTTTAAATATCAGTGTGTTCTTGCAAAGGCTTTCAGTGTAATCATGCCAATAATTTATGTGTAGTATCAAGGCCCGTGCTTAATTCATAATTTAGATGGCACATATCTGCGTCAGCCTGCCCTGGATTGCATGAAAAAAATCACCTCCCCCACTATGTATGTATGAACATACTTCTTTTTTTTGCAAAGGCCTTTGGCTATGTACAATGAAGTTTATTTACCTCGCTCTGGGTGCAATATTTGTCCATCTGCAGGCCGGTGTGATGAATCTTTTACTTGGAGGGAAGTCCTGCCAAAGTGACAGGTTGCAATGCACACTTACCTGGGAGTGAGCTACATTGACTAAAACAGGACTTACTTCTGAGTAAACATATATAAACTAGCACTTACCTTTAAAAGGTTGTACTGTTATTCCCCGATAAGTGAGCACAGAATGAATTTCGAAACTTTTTTTTTATCATTGCTTTAATCTATTGATTTTACTTAGCATTTTATTGACCAAATGTTGATAGTTTTATCATTTTTCGTCATGAGCATTTTTCCTCATTGTTTTCAGGGCAGGGAGATGCTCGAATCCTCTACTGCAGGCATGAGGAAACCTGTGGCTGCCAGCTCAACAACATTGTCTGGATTTTTGGGGAATATGGCAGCCCTACCCAGACCACAACTTTCATTAACCCTTCCCAGGGGTGCCAGCTTGAATAAACAAATTTGGGGGGGCCTGGGTAAGCCCTGGCCTGCATAATTGATCACATGATGCGGTGCATGCACACCATTTGAATGGCAATGCCCATCAACTTGGGGGGCCCAGTCCCCTCAAATATTTTATTCAGGGAACCGAAGGGACCTTGGCCCCTAGGAGTTGGCCTCTATGTCCCTTCCCGTTGGCACTGCTGGCTGGGGCCAGGAAGTTGCCTTATACCAAGTGAGGCTGCTGGTCCATTTAATCCAGTATTGTCTACAGTCTCCTGGGTTCCAGGCAGGAGTCTATCCCGGCCCTACATGGAAACGCCAGGAATTGAACCTGAGACCTTCTGAATACAAGGCAAATGTGCTACCACTGAGCTACAACCCATCTGCAAAACCGATGGGAGTCTGGAGGACTACAGATCCCACCCCCCTGCTCTCACCATATAGTACAGTGGTACCTTGGGTTACAGATGCTTCAGGTTACAGATGCTTCAGGTTACAGACTCCGCTAACCCAGAAATAGTACCTCGGGTTAAGAACTTTGCTTCAGGATGAGAACAGAAATCGTGCTCCGGTGGTGCAGCGGCATCAGGAGGCCCCATTAGCTAAAGTGGTGCTTCAGGTTAAGAACAGTTTCAGGTTAAGAATGGACCTCCAGAACGAATTAAGTACTTAACCCGAAGTACCACTGTATATGTTTAGCTGCAGAAAGGCATGGCTTCTACCACTCCCAGTTAATCTCTCTTTCTTCCTTTCTTTTTTTAGTCACGATTTCTGAGTAGAGCAGGTTGGGTACGTTGGCTGCATGGTATTTAACCAAGATGAAAAATAAAAATAGACACCCACAACTTTAACGTAGATTATCTTTTGAGCGCATACGTCTGAGTAGCACCATCTGGGTGGGGTTTGACCAACAGCAGGTTAGAGAGCTGATTTCAAATACAAGCAGATGGATTTCCCCTTACTTTTGGCTGTATGAAGCAAGTACACATCTTACCACCAACTGGACTATTTGTGAGCAAGTAACATCGTGGAGAGATCAACTATTTCAATATATTGGACTGTGTTCCAGCGTATGCTTCGACTGCAGCATTTTTGATGCTTCTCAATTCTTGGCAATCAACTTTTTGAATTGGAGTGTTTAGTATGTTCCAAGTCCAGTATCTTAAAAGTGCCTACAACATGTCAGAGGACATTTACCCCTTCTCGTTGGTGAACTAAAGTATATGTGCAGTAACATTACTAAGTTGCTAAGAAAAGTCTGGATTTCTTTAAGGACGAACAAACAAACACAGAGAAAGAGACTTTTTTTGGAATACTATCTAAGACTGCAGTCATGTATCTAGAACTAAGCATCATTGAACCCAGTGGGACCTTTTAAGACGGTCAAAAACTAAGGATGCTTCTAGGCCACTACTATTTTTGCCTGGGATTCAATCACATGGCGACAAATTCAGGTTGTACAATTATAGTGGATTTTGCAGTCCTATGCAAAAAGAAAAATCCTGCTTATCGGATCAAAAGATCAGGAAAGGGCCAGGAAAATGCCCTGGGAAGTAGGAATGTGGGTTACCATCTATTCAATTTGCATTTAAAGGCAGACATGCATAATTTGCATTTTCCAAAACAATATGTGGCAGGTCATACTCTGGACTTTGTTTTCTCAGCTGGGTGGGAACAACGTGATCTGAAAGTGGGGGGGTCAGCCCCTTGTCATGGTCAGATCACTTTCTGCTAAGCTTTAGGCTTCCAGCACCTTTCCCCCTCAGTAGAGGCTGGGGACCTATGAGATCATCATCTGAGGCCCTTCTCCGTGTGCCTCATCCATGAGGGGTCCAGAAGGTGGCAACACAAGAACGGGCCTTTTCTGTAGTGGTTCCCTCTTTGTGGAATGCTCTCCCCAGTGAAGTTCATCTGGTGCCTTCATTATACACCTTTAGGTGGCAAACGAAAACATTCCCCTTCAACCAGGCCTTTGGCTGATTAACATCCAATACCCTTTTAAAAGTGTTGTGGAATTATTGGTGTTATGTACTGAGTTGAATAGGATCCAAAATGCAGTGTCTGATTGGTCCTAGAACAATAGGATTCAGAATGCAGCAGTCTGATTGGTCCACAGGAGCCACCCAATCCAGCTCCAGGTGGAAGTGAATCTGCAACCTGAGTGGCCTACAGGAGAATCCCGGAATTAACCAATCACGTGGGGCTCATTGTGTAAATAATGTATATAAAGCAGACATTCTGGGGGAACTTCCATTCCTCCTCACCACTATGAGCTGAATAAAGAGCATGAAATCCACTCTCGACTCTGAGTATATTTTAATTGGTTTGCTTTGTTCTTATTTTTTATTATGCATTTTGTGTTTCTAAGGTCGTGTTTTTATGTTGTGAACCGCCCTGAGATTTATGGGTGAAGGGCGTACACAAATTTCATAAATCAATAAAATACAATAAAATAAATAAAAAGCCAGGATCTTCAGAAACGGCAAGTTTTACTCTCAGCTACATATAATTGTGTATCTTAACAGCCTAATGCATATAAACAACACTTCCGATTGCCAAATACATTTCGACCATACGGATGTAATTTACCTATCAATATGTGCCACTGAGGAAGACCGTATGGTCAAAATGTATTTGGCAACTGAAAGTGTTACTTGCATTAGGATGTTAAGTGGCACTCTCTTCTGTCATTAAAAAGACCCCTAAGGATCGGTATTGGGGTCTGTGCTTTTGAGCTTGTTCATAAATGATCTGGAGTTGGGGTAGACAGCGAGGTTGCCAGGTTTGCTTGTTCGAGGTGGTTAGAACAAAAAGGGATTGTGAAGAGCTCTTAAAGGACCTCGCCAAACTGAGAGAACGAGCAGAACAGTGGCAAATGCAATTCAATGTAAACAAGTGTAAAGTGATGTTGGGGCAACAACAACAAAAATCTTAATTTCACATGTACACTCAACTGGCGTTGACTGATCATGAACAAGACCTTGGGGTCATAGCAAACAGCTTAATGGAGATGCCGACCCAGTGGGCGGCAGCTGTGAAAAAGATAAATCGCATGCTAGACATTATTAGGTCGGGAATTGAAAAACAAAACTGCCAATATCATAATGCCCTTATACAAATCTACGGAATACTGTGTACTGTTCTGGATGCCTTACCTCAAAACGGATATTGTAGAGCGGGAAAAGGGCAACCAAAAGGGATGGTGCGACAACCTGATGAAGAATGGTTGCAGCGCTTTGGACTTTTGAGTTTAGAGAAGAGGCAAATATGAGGTGACATGATAGAAACTTATAAAATTATGAATGGCTTGAAGAAAGCGAATAGAGGGGGAAAATCTGCTCCTCTCCTAACAGGCAGGAGGTTCTTGTTATGCTAAAACATTTGTATTTCCTCATTCAGTTCAGAAGCTGTTTTACCTTACTGTTTTCTTTTGATTGGTATATACTGTACACAAATACGTTGAGCAAAATTTACAGGGTAGGGTTGGTAGGTCTTAACTTTGTACATTTTGTTACTCAACCAATCTGTAGATCAAGCAACAGGTCAATAAGATCTGACTGCTCAAGACAGCAGTCCAATCAATGGAGTCTGGGATTAACCCAGAGCACTGAAATTAAATCCAGCTCCTGGAACTATATTTGCACTGATCACCCACTGCCCTGGAAGATAGCCTTGTACGTATGTGAAGCCTGGGGCAGCCACCCTTGCTTTCCCCCAACACCACTCCAAATGGCCTGTCACCATAGGCCATGGGTAAGCAAACTAAGGCCCGGGAGCCGGAGCTGGTCCAATCGCCTTCTAAATCCGGCCCGCGAACGGTCCAAGAATCAGCGTGTTTTTACATGAGTAGAATGCATCCTTTTATTTAAAATGCATCTCTGGGGCATTTGTGGGGCCTGCCTGGTGTTTTTTACATGAGTATAATGTGTGCTTTTATTTAAAATGCATCTCTGGGTTATTTGTGGGACATAGGAATTTGTTCAATTTTTTCCCCAAAAAAATATAGTGCAACCTCCCGCAAGGGACAGTGGACTGGCCCCCTGCTGAAAAAGCTTGCTGATCCATAGGTGCTGGTTCCTGGGGGCCAAGGCACTTCGGGCCACCCAATTCTTTTTTTAGGGGGCAAACCCCCTTAATGTTCAGAAGGCGTTCAGCTCCTCCCCCTGGGTCCTCACGACCTCGTGTGTGAAATGTCAGGACATTGTGTGACCTCAGGGTATTGCGTGACGTTGCACACGTAACACCAGGACGTCGGGCCCCCTCAGTCATCTGGAAAAGCTGGCACCTCTGCCTATCACCAACTCTCTTCGTCCCCAACCACTAGCAATGTACAAGGCAGCGGAAGGCTGGTGAGCTCTAGCCAACAGTGGCTCTTCAAGGTCTGAGCCAGAGAGCCCTTCTTAGCCTGTCAGCTAAGATCCTTTAAGTGGCGATGGAACTCTGCTTTGACCATGTTCTGTCTCTGTATCTTCCTCCAAACCTGATGGAGCTTTGATAGCCTGGTTTGTGCATCCACATCTATGGCATTTTCAGGACTCGAATAAAAAAGAATACTAATAATTGTGCAGAGACACCCGAAAAGAAATCACAACATCAACCAGCAGTATGTGGGGGTTTGAGTTTGGTTGGTGGTTGTTGTTTTTTTAGGAAATTCACAGCTTGCAACTTTTAGCTAAGCAGGCTCCTACCAGCACACCCTTTAACTGAGCCAACCAACCACACAGGAAGGCCACCTCTGCTGAGAATTCAGCGCATCTTTTATAGAAAATGACAATATGGCACGGGGATTATCTAGAGCTCTCCTGTTGTCCTAGTGAAACATGCAGTGGCCCTGTGATGCACGTCGAGGCAAAACTTTGTGAGTTCCCCCCCCAAAAAAAAATTGATGCAAATAAATTGCAAAGCCTACAGACTCAGCTGGGTGGGCAAATCAAGATAACAGAGACAAAACCTTTGGTTCTGTGCTCTGAGCCAAAAAGAGACCAAGTGCATCACTGATTTGAGGAAGGAAAAGAGGGATCAGTGAGAAATGGGGTTCCATTTGCATTTAAATACAGACCTGCCTAATTCACATTTTCTGAAACAAAATGTGAACTGAAAGAGCCATCCTTCACAATTTGCACTTTTCCAAGTTTTGCAATGCGGTTCTCCAATGTAGCTATATGTACAAAAATGCATATACTAGAGGGGAAATTGTGCATAAAATGCACTTATTAGTGAAAATGACATACAAATGTGCATTGTATCGGGGGGAACTGCTTTGCAAAAAAATGTATAATAGTCCAAATTGCATAGAAAATGTATATATTGAGATAAATTTGCTCTAAAATACTGATGAGTGTACATGTGTACATTTATTTTTAAAAACTCACATGTGGAAA